TGATCGTTCAACATTTCTCCATACCATCAATGAAACTGGGAGCTATTCTGCAGAGATATAGCATTGGGTTACACACAGATTAGTGGTTTTCAGACAATTTTATCGAAGACAGGGCAAATTACCGCCCTCATTTCTGTAGGTCAATGTGTGTACATATAGAACAGTTGAAACTCGGAGTAATATATCAAAGCTGAAAGACGATATTGAAGCTAGCTATGCCGAGATGTCATCTGCTGTCCCTAAATTTTGCTTCTAACCAACGCAACCAATACGGTAGCATAGCCCTCGTATCCTCAAGACGATATGATAAACTTTGTTATTGCTTGACTGAGGGTGTAGGGCGTTAGGCGACAAACCGGATTTCTTGCATCCAAAGATTTCCCCGTGCAAAAGGTCTTCGGCGGCAAATACAGGGGGTGGGGTCGGGGCCGATACATGACTCGACACCATAGAAAAAATGGCGCACAGTTGTGAGTTAAGGGCTTTACGCTGCTTGCGTTTTCCATCTTTGTCGCCTAACGTTTGCTGCCCTCCCTTGACTGACGTAGCGCTTAAGTTCCAGACAAATCACTATGAAACATCGTAGCAGTACAGCAGTACTATTCCGAAAAACTGAAGAGAAATAATGAGCTGGTGGATAGTTTGGATGTAACGACGATTCGTCAGAAAAATCGAACAGATTTATCATGCAGAGATATGTAACAAATAGATATAACATCGTTTGAAGAAAGCATACTGGATTTTGTACTTTTCCAATCATTGTATATCAGAAGTAAGAAAACCGTAATTGGACATTACATCAAAGCTGAACAAGTTGTAGAGTTTACCCGAGTAAGTGCTGTTTCTAGCTGAGAAGTGTAAAGTTTCTACGAAAGCAACTAAAATAATTAACTAGCGACTATTTACAAAACAAGCTAATAGTTTAGCAAAAAGCTAGTTCCTCTCAGTGCTAAGAAAATTCTGGTAGCCACTGGTATAATTCAATTCCAAAGACGCGGCAGAGTTGTTGGCCTTCTAGGCGGTGGTGTCGGTGGTTCCTAGGAAAGCAATTTTGCAAGTATTTATATTTGTGTGATAAACCCACTCGACTTCCAAAAAGAGCTTGCTTTACTTTTGCTATGGTATCATCGATATTATCAGTTGCTTGGTCTGAAAAGCACACGTTAAGTAAGGAAAAAATTTCCATTTGGGAACGAGAAGAAATTTGTGTAATTAAGAAATGTTACCTTTTTTGCGGTTTTCAGAATTCTAGTTTTTTAATGAGTTAGTAATTAAAGTATTTTCTTGCCGTTTAGAATAAGACTGGCTAATTGCATATGCTTGCAAAAATATGAACAGAAAATATGACTACCACACCTTGCTATCACATTTCATCTAGAAGTATTTTTGCGCTTGCAGTAAAAAATTCAAAATTTTTCCAACCAGGTGAGATTTACCTTGGTCCCAATCGTCAGCACATGAAGCTGCATTCATCAGCTTCTCCAGATCTGAACGTTTGTACTTAATGCAACGCCAAAAATAATTTGTGCATTACCTGAATTATTTTGGGCGCCTTCGCTCGTTGATCTTTCTTCAAAAACCTCTCGCAAAGCGCTGCTATTGATAGGAATGTATGGCACACCAGTCATCGAAATGCCAAAACCTAGAAGAAGAAAATTGCTGGAGCTTACATCCATGCCTATGTTTTCCAGAATTAACGGGAAGAGTAACTATTTTCTTGAAAAATTCCTACACTTTCCTACTCAAATACCCCTCTTAGTCTGGTTCGA